GGGGCCCTGGGGGCGGGGCGGGGCCCTGGGGGTGGGCCACATCGCGCCCCTTCCACACCACGCTGACAAGCCGCCCATGGACTCAGCACCGCCTCCTCTCGCCCTTCTTCCCGGCATTCCGCGCGCGCTCACCCCGGCGCTCGTCAAGATGGCGGCAGATAGTGAGGTGAGTTCCCCACTCTAGGTGAGTTCATCCCGGAGTTCTGCCGCCTACGTCAGCTCCCTGAGTCTCAATGTCTGCTTTCCTTTCCCCTCGCAGCCCGAGTCCGAGGTGTTTGAGATCACAGACTTCACCACTGCCTCGGAGTGGGAAAGGTGAGTGGCGCGTTTGGGTCCCACAGGCCCGGCGGGGAGGCTGCCGCTGCCTCTCACCCCCACGCAGGTGACGCGTTCCGATGGAGTCGCCCACGCCAGTTCTTGGGCTTGGCCCCTGGCACCGCCCCGCCCCGGCCGCCGCTCGCTTCCGCGTCCTTCCACGTCTGTGGTCAGACTAACCCTTCTGAAAAAGTTTTGACCCCAACACTTTACTGACACCTCAACCAGTCTGCGAGAGTCATTTTCGTGCTCACCCTGGTCGTTCCTGCTGACATTTCCGTTTGCTTCCCTTGTCATAAGCTGTCCGCTTCGCAGCTGTTGTTGATGATTGTCCATCCGCCCATCTCCATTCTGTTTTCCAGAATAATTTACTTTTGTTTTCCCTTTCAATTTTGTTTTTCCTTTCTGTTATCCCCCTACGTCTCCCGCTCTTCCTCCTCCATTTTTTACAAATAACATGTCTACGGACCGTTGTGGTTCACCTTGCTGTATTTTTAACTAGGTAATGTGGCCAGGCTTCCGAACTTGTCAAACTCACAGGAACAGCTGTTTTCATGAAATTTTTATATCACTGAAAAATAGTCGAGAAACTTCCTGTTCAGTGTCACAGAAACCCATCAGGGTATGGGTACTGAGTTATTTTATACTGTTGCAGTGTTTTGTAGTTCTTGAAAATTGTGCGTGTCATATCATTTGACGGCATAGGAAAATACAAAAGATCCTTGACGCAGTAGCTGGCTCTGGAGGGTGGGGCAATAGAGGCAGTAAACAACACACTAGCAAAACTTTATGAGCAGGTACTGTGTTTCCAGAGCTATACCAAGGATGGGAAAAGCCATACCTTTCAAAAAGCCCAGCAAGTGATTAAAATATAAGCCAATTGGTACTCACTTCAAAGAACCAGTTTAAATAGGGATAGTGTTGTGAATTACAAAAAAAAACTAAAAAATTTTTTATGTTTGTGAGTGTATTACTTGTATATAAGTGCACCCATCTCGTGCAGTGCCTACGGAGGTCAGAAGAGGGTATCAAATTCCCCCGGAACTGGAGTTATGGTCAGTTGCTAGCTGCCATGTGGGTGCTAGGATTCCAACCCAGGACGTCTGCAAGAACAACCAATGTTCTTAACTGCTGAGCCATCTCTCTAGCCCCTCAAATTACACTAACAACTGTCAAGATACTAACTTTAACATGTCCCAAACTGCCCTTCTTGACACTTCCTTAGCTTCAGTCTTTCAGGCAAGAAACTAAAGCTCCATATTGAGTCTTCCTATTTTCAAGTTCATCAAAGGGATCCGACAGCCTCTTCTGACCTCCGCGGGCATTGCACGACATGGGTACACTTACCTGCATGCAGGCAATACACGCATGCACATAAAACAAGAATAATAAAATTTTAAAAAACAAAGTAAGTGTAATTTGAGGGCTGGCGATGGCTCAGTGGATTAAGGCACTTGCTGTCAAGCTTGACAACCCAAGTTTGATCTCCAAGACGTAAATGGTGGAAGAAGAGTACTGGTTCCTGCCAGTTGTGCTCCAACCATCACATGGCATGCACCAACATGCACAGACATGCATATATACAAAGTAAATAAATGTAATACAGTTCTTTGAAAAGAAAAGAAAGGGGGCTGGAGAGATGGCTTAGTGGTTAAGAGCACTGGCTACTCTTGCAGAGGACCTGAGTTCCCAGCACCCACATGGTGGCTAACAACTGTCTGTAACTCCAGTTCCAGGAGATCCAACACCCTCTTCTGACCTCTACAGGCATTCCACAACATGGGTACACTTACATGCGTGGAGACAATATACTCATATACATAAAATAAAAATAAATATTTTAAAAGAAGAGAAAAACGTGAGTTGAATCTCGGAGGATGAGTGATAAGGAAACATCATTGACCAATGTTTTGAAAGAAAAATGATCACTTTTCCCTAGTTAAGTATTTAAAATTTCCTAAAGGGAATAATAAATTGCTTAGCTCTTCTTCTGGAAATAATTGTTAATACAGTCATGAGGATTTTAAACATAAGAAATTTAGTTTGGCTTTTAAATTTTTGTTTGTAGAATGAAACTAATATTTTACAATTTGTGAAAAAAATGCAGAGACTTTAAAATTTCTTATTAATGTTTGAATAAAAAGTTCTCATCAGGGGTTATATATCATATAGATAATTTATTGAGTGGGCTAAGTAGATTCCCATAACTCTTTATCATTTGTCAGGTTAAGAAATACTTACCAGCAGGTTGGCGTACCTGTGCATGCTTTAAATCAGCACTTGGGAGGCAGAGACAAGTGGAGCTCTGTGAGATCAAGAACAGCCTACTCTACATAGTGAGTTCAGGTCAGCTGGGCTACAGGGAGACCCTGTCTCAAAAAGACAAAGAAAAAAAAAATTGCTGAATGTCCATGTGTAGTGTAGGAAATTAGGGATGTGATAATAAAAACAAATAAGGCTTAGCATGTTCAAGGCCCTGGTTTCTTCCCCAGACTTTTTATTTTTATTTTTGTCTTTTTGAGACAGGGTCTCCTTATAGCCCCAGCTATCCTGGAACTCACTATGTAGACCAGGCTGGCCTCGAACTCAAAAAGATCCACCTGCCCCTGCCTCCTAAGTGCTGGAATTAAAAGGCATGCACTACCACACCCAGCCTCTTCCGAGTCTTTACAATAATCAAAAGGAGGAAAAATAGATTACTGTATTCCTGTTCTTATGAATGTACTTTCTAACAGAAGAGACAGATAAGAGTCATGTAATACAAGAATCTGTAATTACAAATTGATGTAAAAGCTTAGAAGGGAAATGGAAAGAAATCTCTTCTTCCAAAAGTGTATACAAAAGAACTTCATATAGAATAAGAAGTTAAGTGACTCGAGCTAAGTTCTGGAGAGTGGTTAAGAAAAAAAGTTACTAATTTTCTTAGTCAAATCTCAATATGTATAGGATATAATTTTCTCTTAGCTAGTACTGCTAGAATTTATCCATTATTTTAAGATGGTCCTCCTTTTACTCTGAAAGCTATATTTTAAATTATTTTGATGATAGTAATAATAACCTCATAGTAAATTTAAAAAATCTACAAACCTACACCAGAACGTAACTATTAAATTTTTGACCTGTTTTGTTTTAATCGTGTATGTTGTAAACGTTTTAGGTCAAACTATATTAATACCTCTTTCACTAGCTTTCTTTTTTCACTTAACACATTTTTTTCTTGTCTCAAATGTTTTTCAAAACATTTTTTAATGATATATATTGGTTCATTGAGTAGATGTACCATTAATCTACAACTGTATGCTTCAGTTGGACATTAGAATAGCTTCCACTTTTGTTTTGTTTTTTTCAGTTTTTAATTTTTATAAAATGTGCAATGGGGTAGGAGCTCTGGCTCAGTGGTTAAAAGCACTGGCTGTTCTTATAGAAGACCTCAGTTTGAATCCCAGCATCCATATGGCAGCTAACAACTGTCTGAAACTCCAGTTCCAGGGGGATCCGATGCCCTCTTCTCCATGGCACTGCATGATATAGGTGCACTTAAATGTAAGCATAACACTCATAAAAATAAAAATTTAAAAAAAGTGCTATGTGTTCTTAGTGCTTTCCTGTGGGGTGGGGGATGGTATTTTTTAAATTTAATTTTTTTGTTAATTGTTTTTTTCTATTCCTTGCTATTTTTATTTTTTCCATGTATATAACGTACACCCTTAACTTACATTTAACAGTCTTATTCCAGGTGATGTAACACTATTTCACATTTAGTAGAACAATTTACAGCCATATTTTTGCAGGGGATGGTATTCTTAGAATGGAGCTCAGGGCCTCAGGCATGCTAGATAAGCCATCTTAACACTGGTCCACAATCCTAGCCCCTTGCAAGGTATATTTCATGCACATTTTTATTTTCTGGATACATTTTACATTTTTACTTTTTTTTTAAAAAATGTAAACTTATTTTTAGTTCACTTTTTAAAAATTTATTTTATGTGTATGCGTGTATTGCCTGCATATAGGTCATGCAATGCCCCATGTCATGGAATGCACATGGAGGTCAGAAGAGCCTGTCAGATCCACTGGGACTGGAGTTATGGACAGTTGTTAGCTGCCATGTGGATGCTGGGCTTCGAACCCGGGTCTTCTGCAGGGACAACCAGTGTTCTTAACCACTGAGCATCTCTCCAGCCCCAAGTCCACTTATTTTCAAAGCTAATAATTGCCATTTGACTGAACCTCCCCCAGAGTGCATTCATACATGAATTGAGACTGCTTTTAATTTTTAAAAGATATATTTTGAGTAACGGGCATGGTGGTGCACACCTTTAATCCCAGCACTTGGGAGGCAGAGGCAGGTGGATCTCTGTGAGTTTGAGGGCCAGCCTGGTCTGCATAACAAGTTCCAGGCCAGCTGGGGCTACAGGGAGACCCTGTCTCAGAAGAAGGAAAAAAAAAAGATATATTTTGAAAAATTTATGGGGGCTGGTGAAATGGCTCAGCAGTTAAGAGCACTGATTGCTCTTGCAAAGGATCCAGGTTCAATTCCCAGCACTCACATGGCATCTGACAACTGTCTGTAACTCCAGTTCCAAGGAATCTGATGCCCTCTTCTGATCTCCATAAGCATTGTGCAACACAGGTGTGCTTAACATACATGCAGGCTATTAATACACTCACACATGTAAAATTTAAAAAAAATACTAAAAAAATTTATGGATATGTGTATATCTGTATGCCATGTGTATATGGTGCCAGCAGAGGCCAGAAGAGAGTATCTGATCCATTGAAGCTGCAGTTACAGGTGATTATGAGATGCCTGACATGGGTGCTGGGAACCAAACTTCAGTCCTCTGGAAGAACAGCAAGTTCTTTTAACCGCTGAGCTATCTCTTCAACCTCAAACAGGGTTTTATGCATCCTAGGGTGGCCTCAAATTCACTATGTAGTCAAGCCTTCTAAACCATCTCTCTAGCCACTGCTTTTAATTTAAAAAGGAGTTAATGAGAAGGTTCAGTCAAATCATAAACTGATTTATTACTGTCACTACTGTTTTGAATGTGAATATTAGTTTCTAATGCCACTGAAGGAAAAACCTGATGCCTTTGAATACAGTTTGACTTTAATCACCCTGGTAGTACTTCCTGAATGCTTTAGGAAGTAATGTTGGTTGTTGCTAGATTGCATCATATTTCTGTCACTATAAACAGCTTGAAAGTTTTCATATGCTGCTGTTGAGCATGTTGCTGGTCAAATTTAGTTCACTTAAAAATATTTTTTGAGGGGGCTAGAGAGATGGCTTAGCGGTTAAGAGCATTGACTGCTTTTGCAGAAGACCTGGGTTCAGTTTCCAGCACCCACATGGCGGCTATGAACCGTCCTTAACTCCAGTTCCAGGGAATCTGAAGCCCTCTTCTGACCTCCGTGGCATTGCACAACATGGGTGCACTCACATACATGCAGGCAATACATTCATACACATAAAATAAAAATAATAAATATTTAAAAAACTTTTTTGATTTATTTTTACTTTATGTGTATGAGTATTTTGCCTGCATATGAGTGCAGCCGTGTATGCAATGCCTATGGAGGCCAGAAGAGGGCATCAGATCCTCTAGAACTGGAGTTGGGGATGGTTTTTAGGCAGCATGTGGATCCTGGGAACTGAACTCAGGGCCTCTGCAAGAGGAGTCAATGCTCTTAACCACTGAGTAATCTGTCTAGCCCATTCAGTTTGCTTAAAACATTTTGTTTTAATATTATGTGTATGAGTGTGGTGCCTGCATGTATGGAAGTGCATCCATCACATGTATGCAGTGCAATTTTGGATGACTGTTAAGGATGGTTCGTAGCCATCATGTGGGTGCTGGGAACTGAACCTGAATCTCTGCAAGAGGAGTCGGTGCTCTTAACTGCTGAGCCATCTCTCCAGCCCTTTCAGTTCACTTTTTATTAGGTCTTCAAAAATATAAAGATTGGAGAGAGCACATGTTGGGGAACCCTGCTGCTAGGGCTGTAGTCCTCCATGTCTGGATAGCTCTAAGGGGCTCAGCGCTATATGGAAGGACTCCCCTTCTCAGCAGGGGGCCTCCCGCTCTCTGCCTGACTTACCTGGAAAGTGCCGCCAATCAGGCATTGCCCAGTAGTCGGATGATAGGCTCCTACTGCCACATGTAAATAAAGCATACTATGAGTACCTATCAGCTGAAGCATTGGCTGCTGCCTCCACACTATATTTTCCCTGACATCCCACTAAATAAATGGAGCTGTTTCACTGAATCTGGAGCTGTTTCACTGAGTCTGGAGCTGTTTGCATCACTGAACCTGCCTCCCCGCAAGGGCTTTCTTCGGTCAGTGCTCACTGGCCGCTCTGACCCCGTTCGTCGCTTCTGCTCCCTTTGTCCTCGTGGAACAGTGGCCAACGACCCACGAGGAGAGGGAGCGACCCCACAAGCACATAGCTTTTAAATGATCATTGCTCCTTTAGCAAATGTACATTTTTTCAGTTGTCCCTTAAGACTTAATAAGAAAACTTTCCAAATAGCGTTTTCCTTTGAGGGGGAAAGGAGAGCAATTCAGGTAATTTGTATATATATTTAAAGGGAAAGTTAAACAGGTCTGTTATTTTGAAAGCAAGGAGAAATTATTAGTTGTATAATTATCCTTAATATCATATTAGTCTCAGTTTTTGCTTCTGTTCCAAATTTATTTACCATATCAAAAGGGAATTATTTGATCAGTTGGTAAAAATTTTATTTTTTAGAATTTCTTTTTATTTGTATTTTATGAGTGTTTTGCCTGCACGAATGTAAGTGTACTTTGTGTGTGCAATGCCTGAAGAGGCCAGAAGAAGGTGTTGAAGTCCCCTTGAATTGGAGCTACAGACCATTGTTAACTACCGTGTGGATGCTAGGAACTGAACCCCAGTCCTCTGCAAGTGCTCTTAACTGTTGAGCTGTTTCTCTAGCTCCTAGATTTATCTTAAAATTATTTTAAAATTATGTGTATATGTGTGTGTGTGTCTGTACGTGGGTATGTGCTCATTAGTGTGGGTACCCAATGGAACTACAAGTAGTTCTGAGCTGATTTAGGTTCTGGGAATCAAACTTGGGTCCTCTGGAAGAGCAGTACATGCTCTTAACTGCTGAATTATCTCTGGCCCCTTGGGAGGGTTATTCTTAATTTTTATTTTGTAGAAAGAATATATTTAGTGAACAGATCTAAATGACTCAAAATTTAGGAATTCTCGAGCTGAACAACATTGTTTCTGTTTTTAGTCTGTATCCCTAAATTGAGCTAACAATATTAAATTTGCTGAACTTTCTCTAATTGTTAAAATGTAAAAAAACAATTTTAAAAGAAATTGTATAGTAATAGGAATAAAATGTATAGTTTTATGTATTTAGAAAGTTTTTTCCCCCTTCCTAGGTTTATTTCTAAAGTTGAAGAAGTCTTGAATGACTGGAAACTGATTGGAAACTCTCTGGGAAAACCACTTGAAAAGGTGAGATCTGTTTGCTGATGTCTCTACATTGGTACTTACTTTGAAATCTTTATTTGTATGCCCTTTGTTGCACTTGGCACATATGAATTAAATATTTAATTTTTTAAAAATTATGTATAGTTTATAAATATCAAATAGTATCTGGAAGATTTTGGATTTAAATTTGTGGCAAATGATGTATATAATACATACGTAACTTTAAAATCTATAACTTTAAATAATAAAGTTTTTAAAAAAATGTATTTTTATTTTATGTGTATGAGTGTATTGCCTGGGTGCATGTAAGTGCACTTGTGTCGGGCAGTCCCTGTGGAGGTCGGAAGAGGGTGTTGAATTCCCTGGAACTGGAGTTCAGCTGTTAGCCACTATGTGGGTGCTGGAAACCAAACCTGGGTCCTCTATGAGAGCAGCCAGTGCTTTTAACCACTGTATCATCTCTCCAGCCTTTAAAGTTTTTTAGTATGTCATCCTTGGTGTGATTTCATTTGTTTCCTTGAGTTTACTCTTTTCAAAGTCTAATTTTCTTTAAGCTAGTAAATACTGTTTCAAATTTTTTTAATTAGAGAAAAAAAATGGACTTACTAATAATTTGTTTAATGAAGAAAAACTTTGGTGTAACAACTTATGTTATAATTAGCAGCTTTTTTACTCAATTTATATTGATAGTTTTACTAATTAACCACATCCCTAATGTATCCTCCAGAATATTCTGACAACAAATCTAGATTTCTTGATTCACTAATGGGACATAAAAATTTGATCTTATGTACATGCTTAGCTTGTTAAATTCTTTTGAAGTAAAATTGATCGTTGTTTTTATTATCTATTGCTACTCAATAATTTAACTGATATATGCTATGTAACAAGCACTGTCTACTTCAATATTTGTTAGAGGTTTTTATAACAGAATTTGAGGCTGTTATACATTAAGATTTTTTTTCTTTGTTCATATGAATATGAGCAGAAAAAGTAAAGTGAATCACACCATTTGGAATAGATAAAGTTGATGTGCTGTGTTAAAATGCTTTAATCTTTCTGTTTTCCTTTGTTTTTTGAGACAGGATCTTTCTGAAATCCCAGCTGGCCTGGCTGTATAAACCTGGCTAGCCTCTTATCTCACAGAGATCCGCATGCCTCTGGCTTTGAGTGCTAGCATTAAAAGTGTGCACCACCACACTTGGCCATATTTTTGAATAAAGACAAAATGTGAAGTTCGATCATTCTATTGCACTTGAAGCACACATATAACAACAGCTTGTATAGATTCCAATAAGATTAAAGGTAAAATAAACTGGAAGGGAAACATTTGAATTACTGAAAACAAGATCTGTGCCTGGTATTTATGAGCTCCGATACTAATTCTTGAATCCTTTAAATTATATATATTTACTGAGTATTTGCTATATATCAGGTCAAAGAAATAGTGAGCAAAGTAAGATCCATGCTATTATCTAGGTAAGTTCTAGTGAGGAAGAGAATAAGGAAACAGATGGTAGGAATTACATCAGATTACAGTAGGTACATACTGCCAGGCATGCAATTGAGGCTCATTTCTCTCTGTTAGGTAGAGCATAGACAGGTGGAGAAAGCAGATTTCAAGATGACTTTGTAAATGCCTTAAAAAAAATGCATGTTCTCCCTCATATGCAGGTCTTGGTCTATAATGTATATACATGCATCTTTGAAAACAGGTGCAAATGTGGGTAAAGTTCAAAAATTTAGAAAGGAGACCAAGAATGGATGATGAGGAAGGACAGTGAGGTAAAAGGATGCATGTATCATGAAAGAGGATATAAAATGAATTTTTCTAGTATTCATGGTAGATATTGGATTCAACTTCATGAATATTGAAGTAGCATAAAACATTTTTGTATTTCAAAAGAATCTAGCATGTAGGGACTGGAGAGATGACTCAGTGGTTAAGAGCACTGGCTGCTCTTCCAGGAGACCCAGGTTCAATTCTCAGCACCCACATGACAGCTAATAACTGTAACTCCAGTTCCAGGGGATCTGACACTATCTTCTGGCCTCGGTGGGCTTCGCATGATATGGGGTGCACTGACATACATGCATTTACATAAATACACTCATATACATAAAACAAAAATTTAAAAAAAGAATCCAACATGTTATTCCTCTGAAGGAAGTGACTGTGAGTGTGAGAATTGGGCTTGCTTTTTAATTCCATTGACCATAAATGCAGTGAGAATTAGTCATGACTAGTTACTGAATACATGTGTCACATTGACCCACTTAGCAAAGGTGATTAAAAAAATTATTTTTGTTCTGGAGAAAGAGATTCTGAAACCTGAAATTTTTTTCCTGTTTAAAATTTTATCAAATTATTCTATTTATTATAGTGTTATTTAATATGTAAACTCTTGCTATACATAAAGTATGGTTTTAAAAAATTTCAATACATGTAAAGGATAGTAATGCTTGTTCTCATCTGCTGAGGGGTAATTTAAAATAAATTTTTGTTTTAAAACAATTATAGAAAATTTCAAAAATGTAAAGTTTACAAGATAGTGTAGTGTAACAAACCCCCCAAGTGCCCATCACCTAGTAACCAACAATTAACATTCTGCCATTTCTTGTTCAGTAGTACCTCCATCCACGTGTCTGCCCATCAGTTTTAAACCAGGCTCTTGTTTCACTGGGGAGGCAGATTTTTACTATTCAGCCCAGGCTAGCCTCCAATTCTCACTGTGTCATCCTATGTCAGCCTGGAAGCTGAGGCTGGAGGCTTGAGTTCATTGAATTCTAGGTCAGCCTGGGCAAGACTCTGTCTCAAAAAAAAAAAAAAAAGTTAAGGATGAAAATGAAATTACATCAAACACTTGTCATTATTCCCTAAAATAATGTAATAATTATATTGTATTAATTACAGTAAGTACTGTAGAGATGATTTACAATATAAGGGAATTAGTGTAGGCTATGTGCAAGTACTACATTATCTAAGTGACTTAAGCATCCACAGATACCTGGGGGAATAGGAAAAAAAAAAAGTTAAGGATGAAAATGAAATTACATCAAACACTTGTCATTATTCCCTAAAATAATGTAATAATTATATTGTATTAATTACAGTAAGTACTGTAGAGATGATTTACAATATAAGGGAATTAGTGTAGGCTATGTGCAAGTACTACATTATCTAAGTGACTTAAGCATCCACAGATACCTGGGGGAATAGGGCTAGGGCTAAGTTTTTTTTTTGTTGTTGTTTTTTTAAGATTAGGCTTTTATTGCTTTGGTGAGGAGTTAGCAACCTAAAAACTGTCTATGTATATGTTCAAGCTTCATATGAAAATATTATGTAAGAATTTCACAGAATGGGATTGTTTTCCTGATTTCTTCCCCAGCATGCTTATTATTGGAAACTACAGGTTTGGGTCTTTTTTTTTTTTTTTTTAATGTTAGTTTAAAACTCATGCTATCACCTAGGTCCTTTGGAGATTGATTTCTTTTGACTACATTTTTTTTTTTTCAGGACAGGTCCCATTTTCCTGTTTTTTGTTTGCTTTTTGTGGAATTTTTGGTGGTGGTGGTGTTTCTATATGTATCATATCCAGTAATTTTTAAGTTAATCTTACATTTCAAATGAAATATAGAGACTGAATTTAATCTATATTTCATTTATAATATAAACAAACTTCTGTTGTATCACTGATTAATTTTCATAAGTTCTCATTCATAAGTCATAAAATTTGTTTTGTTCTTCTGAAAAGTATTTGGTTGTTCCAGCAAGCGTTTAACTTGGCTGGATTAAAGCTCTTTTCCAGTGATAGTAGTAGCTAAAATCCTTTTCTTTTAAGCCCTTGTCACTATTTTGGAGTCTTTGTTGCATATGCAGTCTTAGTAGATAATTAAAATCTGGGGCAGAGTTGGTTTTTTTTCTTTTTTTCTTTCTTTTTTTCTTTTTTTTTTTGGTCTTTTTCAGACAGGTGTCCCTGTAACCTCAGCTGGTCTGGAACTTGCTATGTAGACTAGGCTGGCCTTGAACTCGCGGAGATCCACTTGCCTCTGTCTCCCGAGTGCTATGTTCAAAGGTGTGTGCTACCATACCCAGTTCTGGGGCAGAGTTTTAATGTAAAATTTATGGCTTACAACTTGAACAGCTTGCAATTTGTACAACTCTAGAACTGCCCTGCCAGGTTTAAATTCAGTACTCTATTGACTAAGTACAGTAAAGTGTATAATTCTGCTGACACAAGTTGTGCAGATTAGAGTGCCTGTCAATCAGCAATTCTTAGGATGTAACCCCTGGGAAAGATCCCGGTTGGCTCTTTTTTTGTTGTTTTTGTTTAGTTTGGCTTGATTTGACTTTTTTGAAGCAAGAGCTTACTTACTAGCCCAGGCTAGCCTAGAACTCACTATGAGTCCTGGCCTCAAACTCATGACAGTCCTCCTGCCTCAGCCTCCTGAGTGCTGGGATTACAGTTAGATTATACCAGGTTCCCTGTGGGTTCCTGAGAGCTTTTAAAGGTTGGGCTGTGACTATGGTTCAGTTGGTAGAATGGTTGCCCGGTATGCTTCAGGCCCTGGGTTCCATCCCCCGCACCACATAAACTAGGCATGGTGGCACTCAGGATGTGGAGTCAAGGGGATTAGAAATTTTCATCTATAGCCACATAGCAAGTTCAAGGCCAGCTTGTAATGCATGAGACCCTGTCTCAAAAACAAACATCTTCCTCAGAGCTTTAAAGGTTGTCAAGGCCCTGCCCTTTCTAACTACGTTGTATCTATGAAATTGAATTTTTGTAACACTGTATTTCAGTCAGAACAATAAAGTGCAAAGGTAAACTGCAGAAACAGTTATGAGTCCTTTTGTCTTTTTAAAAACTGTATGTTAAGACTTGGAAAAATGTGAAATAATGCTGTTTTTATATTTTTCTGAAAAGCATCAGTAAAGATTTATGTTAATTCCAGGCGTGGTGGTGCAAAACTTTAGACCCGGCACTTGGGAGGCATGCTCTAGCAATGATCTGTATTCCCAC